ACCTCTGGCTCAGCTATATAATTCTAGGCATGGTCTCTCTGGTTCCTGATTGAACTGCTTAATGACTATGATCCCAGAGACTCAGAAACAAAACTCGGAACCCAGCGGCTTTTGGCAGAAATGCGTCCGGTCCCTGCAGTAGGTTACCAGAGCTGGGCCACCCCAGGTGGGAATAGGTTTCATGCCTTGGCCTGTTCAACCTGGAAACCTGGTTGCCGCCATCCTCCAGATGCCACTGGACAGTTTGGGCTTGCAGTGACGAGACATGCAGGGACTCATGGGATGGGGGTGAAGGCGGCCCTTTCCTCCCCATCCCAAAGACACCCCGAGTCGCCTCCCAAGAACGGCCTCTCCTGATCAAGCTGCTTAAACAGCCAATGACCCCAAAGACTCAGAAACAAATCTCGAAACCTAATGGCTTTTGGCATAAATGCATCTGGACCTTGCAGGAGGTTACTGTCGCTGGGCCACCATAGGGGCAAAGGGGTTTTGTCCCTCCGCCTGTTTCCCCTTGGCAGCTCAGTGGCCACCATCTGCCAGAGGCCATTGGACAGTCAGGTTTGGGCCTGCAGTGACGAGACATGCGGTCCCTCAAGGGATGGGGGTGGAGCCCGCCCTTTCCTCCCCACCCCGGTGAGACCCCAGGCCACCACCCATGAACAGCCTCTCTGGTTCCTGATCAAGTTTCTTAATGGCCAATTATCCCAGAGACCAGAAACAAATCTCGGGAGCCAGCAGGTTTTGGTGGAAATCCCTCCAGATTTAATTGTTAAAATTTCAGAATTTCAAAATCGTGAGGCCACTACTACAGCCATACGACATCATATGTTATTCATAACCAGCAATAGAAAACACATTTCCTACTGTTGCCTTTTCAGCAGATCTAAGTGTTGGGGTAAAATCCCAAATAATAATGGTGGGTCTGGTTCAAAATATTGAATGTAATCAAAGTAGAGAGAGAGAGTAATGTGGAAATCATCTGCCCCACAAGTAGGGAGAGGGTGTGGGATGGGGGCATACTGAGGGTTTTAGTGGTGGAGAATGGGCACTGGTGAAGGTATGGGTCTTTTCACTGTATGACCGAGACTTAAACCTGAATGCTTTGTTACTGCTCTCATTGTGATTCAATAAATAAAATTATAAAAAATGAAAAAAAAATTAAGGTGGAGTTCATGCCCAATTCAATCAGCCTAATCAGTGGCTGAATAAATAGCAGTACTCCTACATAAAAAAAAATGGGGGGAGGGGCTGGAGCAATAGCACAAGGGTAGGGCGTTTGCCTTGCACGCGGCCATCCAGGCATCCCATATGGTCCTCTGGGCACCGCCAGGGGTAATTCCTGAGTGCATGACCCAGGAGTAACCCCTGTGCATTTCCAGGTGTGACCCAAAAAGAAAAAAAGTTGGGGATGGGTAGGCTTGATCTACACCTTGTTTTGCTCAGAATTTGCTCCTGACTCTGTACTCAGGTATCACAATCACCCCTGGCGGGCATCAGGGGGGCATGTAGGGTACCGGAATCAAACCCAGATTGGCTACATTCAAAGCTAACACCCTGCCCACTGTGCTCTCTCCTGCACCCAAACACACAAATACACACACACAAACACACACACACACACACACACACACACACACACACACACACACACCATCCTTATTCACTTTTAATTTCCCTTGATCGAAAACCTGAGTCTCCCTAATTCCTAAGTGTGAGCTCAGTCTCCAGGGCCACCTGGGGACCTCATAAGGGCAGCAGCTTTACATTTTCATCCTCATTGAGATTTCCACTGAGGTTAACACTATTGACATGTAGTTTTGCTTCATGATCATGACGACAACGATCACAACCATCCTGTTGTTTGTCGATTGCCTCGAGCAGACCCCAGTAATGTTTTATTCATCCTAGCCCTGAGATTCAAGGCTCTTTCAGGGTTAGGAGAATGAGACCCCTCATTGTTACTGGTATTTGGCATATTGGGTACACCACAGGGAGTTTGCCAGACTCTGCCATGTGGGCAGGTTACATTCGGTAGCCTGCCAGTTTGTCCAAAGTAAGCATGAGATAAAAAGATGATGCGCTGCTGCGAATGCGACCGCGCGCTACCAGGATCTGGGTGTTATAGTCTCTGGGTCTTGGCCGTTGATGGGATTACACTGAGCCAGGGGTCCAGTTGGTGGGTGTGACCCCTGTCTACTGGAATATGGAGGATCTGGGTGGAGGATGCTCAGCCCTGATCCAAGCAGGCTTGGAGATCTCAGCTCCAGAACCCGCATGCCTTTATTCTTCTGCCGGTACCTTCACGCAAGTGGAGAGTGGTCTCAGCATGGTGGTGGCTGGTTCTGGAGGTCTTTGGCTGCTGGAGCCCTGGTCGGGGTGGGGAGGGAAATTCAACCCGCTCCCCTCCAAGGGGTCCCAGCGAGGACAACCAGGTGCGGGGGCAGGAGACTCTGCAATTAACCCACATTTCCCAGAAATCACAGACCTGGAGACTGAAGTGCCTTGACTATCTCAAGGAATGCTCATCCTTGTTACATACTCTCTTAGCAGCAGCACAATGCCCCAACCACTTCCAGAGGTGCTGGGATAGTGGGAAAAAGCTTCTTCTCTGTCCTTTGGATGTGCAAACATAGGCAAGCAAGAATCGCTGGAGTCCCATGTTCTAAGTAAGGAAAGATATTCAGATGTGGCATGTAGAAATATGGCCCAGGCCTTGTTGTTTCCTTGGTGTTTCTGCTGGACATTTATCTTGTGCTCCCCAACCTGAGGTACTCTAGAGTTCTATAATAAATGTAACATTGGACTATATGCATTTTTGCTAACTTCCTGCTTTGCTGTGGCAGTATTGTTTTAATCATGTTCATCTCTTTATTCTCCAAAGAACTTTTCGTGATCATGGCATCATTTGAACATATTTTCTGTATTGTTAGGAAAATCCTATGGAAGTTTTATCCTTGTTCACATGTCCATTCTGCCATGCGTGTTTCTATTTTTGCATCAGTAAAATATAAGCCTAAATGTTAAAAACAAATGGCTTCGGCCACACATGCACCATAGCTGCTGCACTGTCTTCTGATCACTAATGCTTGGCCAGCTGTTCATGTTACAGTTTACACATAAAATTAGAACACTTTTTTTTTAGTAATTTCCCCTATCCATATCAGAACCACTACTCTGGATTTTGTTCTCTGGGTTTTAGTGTTTTATTTTAGACTCAAACTCTTAATATTGACTTCTGGACTCTGATTTTTGTAACCAGGCATCTTACCTTTATCTCTCACCCCCACTTTTTAGACTTGATTCCTAATTAGCTCTAGACTCTTCTACCTTTTGTAATATTAGTATTATCAGTCTCTAGAGAAAATTCTGCCAAGTTGCTTTTTTATTTCTCCTTTCCTAGGTCTGGTTTCTTTATGACCACCTTAACTTCACAAAACCTTCACCATCAGTTTTTTATGTATAAGGATCTAACAGAATTCTCTCTTATATAAATTGAGAATCCTTATAGAGTCAGAAGGAATGTAATTTTAATAAGAAATAATTCAAACATAGAAATCATCTTTCCCTAAGATTAATAATTACAATTTTTAAAATTTTATTTGTTACATGATTCTAAATTTATCAAAAAAGATTGGCAATTTTTTTCTGACCATACTCAGAAATAAGTGCTCAGATGTCATCCCTGGCTCTGTACGTAGGAACCACTTCTTATAGTCGTTAAGGGACGTATGTGATGTTGGGGATCAAACTCAGGTCAACCACATGCAAGGCAAGTGCCTTTCCTGCTGTATTATTGCTCTGATTCCAGATTTATTATTAGTCAGGCAAACTATGATGGCAAATAGACTTGACATATGAGTACAAACATACTCATCATTTATTTATGACTTTAATGATAGACGTACTTGTGTAATTCTGGTGTGAGCACTACTTCTAGAATTCATTTCAGAAGTCATGGCCCATCTTTCCTGTGGATTCACTGTCTTCTAAGTCCTTCTCCTCATCTCTGTGTGCTCAGTCAAAATAAAGAAGATACATAGAAAACACATTTGTTTCTTAATAGTCATATCAGAAATGACACATGTCACTTCTGTCTGTACTCATTTGGAAAGGACTGTCTCATGACTCTATGTTATATACAAATCAGAGACTTTAATTTCTTTGTGTGTTCAATGAAGAGGAAAATATTTTTTGATAGTACCATTACTTTTCACTTAAGAAAAATAAGGTGAAACTGATTGCAGACACTTTTTGCAGATATGAGATAATGGTAACATATAAAAGAAACTATTTGTGAGTACTTTTAGGGAAGATACTGGTAGAGAGACAGTGCAAATTAAATAATTGTGAGAGGTAAGACCACAAAATAAAAGAATTGCTGCATTTTTGTACTAAATGTGATTCAATAGTGATCTTCTCTTAAAAATAACTATGAAGTCACAAAGCGAAAAAAAAATATCAAGGGCTGGGAATATAGTTCAATTGGCCAGAGCACATCGCTAAAACCCAGGTTTAAATTTCTAGCATGGCATGGTCCCCAGGGCATAGCCAGAATAGGCCAACATCATCCCCTCCCCAGCCCAACAAACATAAGAAAGTAAAGTAAAACAAAGAAAATATTTTTAATATATTTATTAACATGGGCTGGAGCAATAGCACAGCACGGAAGGGTGGTTGCCTCACACGCAGCCAACATGGCCCACCCGAGTTCGATTTCTCCGCCCCTCTCGGAGAGCCTGGCAAGCTACCAAGAGTATCTTGCCGCATGGCAAAGCCTAGAAAGCTCCCTGTGACGTATTGGATATGCCAAACACAGTAACAAGTCTCACAATGTTACTGGGCCTGCTCGAGCAAATCGATGAACAGCACGAGGACAGTGACAGTGACAGTGATTTACTAATATGCTATCAAAATTTATTACACTTGGTTTTAGAACAATTGGAACATTAAGTAAATTTCATTTAACACTTACATATTTTATTTTTCTGCTTGTGTTATAGGTCAAAGAAAATTGAAATATGATACAGAGGATGAAAAACTGGATAAAAGTTTTAAGATATCAGTGTTCAAAGTGCCCATACGTACTTTGGATTCAGTGAAGTGTGCCTCAGTAGTGAAAACAAAAGAACAAGATTCTTTACCTGTGTATGGCCAAGCACGGTATGCCTCTCTTCAAAAACCAGTCTGTACCTACAAAGACATTAAGTTAAAGAAGAATATGAAAGAGTTTTTTACAGTGCACAGAGCTGGTATGAGACTCCAATCACTTTGTGATGTTGATAAATATTATTCAGAATTAAAGAATCTGGAAGAATATCATAAAAGAGTATCCGCTCGAAACATGACACGTGCTTCCCAAGAAAAAGCTACACTAAAAGTTAAGGAAATATTAAATGAAAAAATTCATAATGTAAAGAAACACCGTTTAAAAGAAGAGGAGACAATGCAGATGGGTTTTCAGCAATTTCGGCAGAACAGAAACTTATACCTTGGAAGAGTTAAAGAGAGGAGAAATTTGTTTCTGAAAGAAAAAAGGCAAAAGACTGAAGAGCGTTTATTAATTCAGAACTTAAGTAATGAGCGCTCTCGTGTACTCCGAGGAATAATTTATATGGACAGATTGAAGATGAATGAGGAAGTTCAAAATGAGAAGAAAATGATTGTTAAACAAAGACTGGAAACAGAAAGGTTTCAAAGGAATTTAGTCAAACAAATGAAGGAAGTTAGGTAGGTCTGATTCTGATTTAACAGCAGATTTTAGCTCAATTACATGTGACTCTTGCATGTTGCGCATAGAGATATACTGCATGACGCTTGATAACATAAAATGGCATTGTGGGTAGGGCGTTTGCCTTGCATGCAGTCAACCTCGGTTCTATTCCTATGTCCTTCTCAGAGAGCCTGGCAAGCTACCAAGAGTATCCCGCCCACATGGCAGAGCCTGGCAAGCTCCCCGTGGTGTAGTTGATATGCCAAAAAACAGTAACAAGAAGTCTCATAATGGAGACATTACAGGTGCCCGTTTGAACAAATCGATGAACAACCGGAGGAAAGTTCAATGCAGTGCTAAATAGAAACAACAAATGTGAAAATGTTAGACAATCAAATATCTTGTACCTCCCCAACTATTCTAAATATAAATCTATTTCTTTTTTTATTCTTTGTTTTGAAAGAGGCATATCCAGAGGTGTTCATGGCTTACTTCTTGCTCTACACACAGGGATCTCTTCTGGTGATGCAGGAAATTGTATTCAGTACCAAGGATTAAACCAGAGTTAGCTTCATGCTAAACATGTGCCTTACCCCTTAAACTATCTCTCCAGCCCTAAATCTACTATTTGTATCATAAATGCATCATCATTAGACTCTTAATTAGCTTAAAAACCTGAAATTTTGCACCTCAACTCCCTCATTTTCCACAACTAATGTTTTGCCTGTTAGTTTTACTTTATAGGTCTGGCCAACTGGCAGACCAATTCTTCCTTTTTATTCCCACCTCTCTTTTTTCTCATTCATAATTTTGTTATCTACGAATTTACATTACACTTCAACTGAGAATTCCATCTGCATTCTTCATCCTTTCTTAACCCATATCTTTTTTTAAGTCTATAAACTCCACCTGCCTTTTAAAATAAAGTTCACTTCATTTCCTACTTAAGTAAATCAATACCTTGCCGTTGCCTGCAGAATCAAATCGAATCTCCCCTGAATGGCATTTCAGACACTATGGTCTGTTCCAATCTATCTAGACTCAATTCACTAAATTTTCTTCAATAGGCTCTTTGATCTTTCTCTAGCAGCGATCTTTGCTCTAGTCAGACTAAATTATTTACCAACTCCTATCCATATTTGCATCCTTTGTAACTATAAAATAACTTATATTGCTCTTCTTTCCTCAAAGATGCACTCCACCAGGGGCAGCAAACCCAGTATTACCTGTATGTGTATGAATATATGAGCATAAACATATATATATACATATCTATATACACACACCACAACAAAAGACTATATTATTGTGCAAATTGGAATGCTTTTAACGTTCATATTGATAAGATGGCATTGCTTATATTTAGAGGAAAGTGGGTAAAGGTCTGTTTTTCTCCAGGAAGATACATTGCTAGTATCTGAGCATGTCTGAGTAAACTAGATTTTACCTGTGTTTGCACTCATCAAACTGTTTAAATTGTACAACCATGTCAATAGCTTAATAGCCGACTCAACATCATCTCTTCCCAACTGTTTTTCTAGTGTAAATTAGGTCCTTATATTTTAAGATGCTGTCATACACTTTATTTAAATCTCAATTCTAGCAGTTGTCATAGAGGGTCTTAGTTTGTGACATTCTTTATAAGAAAATTTGGTCTATCTTTCCATTCCAGCACCTGCTACTGTAAGCAATTAACCTACTTAAATTTTAGCTAGAAAAATTTATTCAACAATGATTTACTGATGAAAATAGCAAAAATTCTGTAACCACTACAACCCAGTTCCATTTCCTTTGAGCGGTCAATCAATTGAGGGACAACCTGGTAGGTGAGAAAGAGTTTTATTAGCAATAAGCCAGCAAGTTAGAAGATAGACTATGCAAATTTTAGAAAACTATCTTGCCCACAGAGCACAAAAATCTATTCAGATAGGAAAATAAGAAAATTTGTCTCTAAAAATGGACATACCTATTAGACTGGTGGACATCAAGGTGTTAACTAACTTTCTTTGTGGACAGAGGTCTTCTAAGGTATACCTCACTATACATGTAAATCTGTACAAAAATTTTTGGTTAAGAATTATGTTTCAGCTTTGTCTTCCTTTTTCGGGAAGGACAGGATATGGAAATAGTTCTCTACATTATAACTCTCCTGCTCAGAAGAGTTTGCTGGTTTTTAATTTTGAATTCATCTCTTCATTTCCCCTGGGCCAGATTCAAACTCAGTTGTTATTAAATTAGTAATGGCTATATATAAGCCCATTTGAGTCATTTTTTAATAGCCTTTGGAAGGGTGAGAGTTTTTATATATTTTTGCATAATACTTTAGCCATTGGAATGAGAAACTGCACATTTTTTCTAAATGTTTGTATAATGAAGATATATAATTGGAATTATTAAATAGATACAACATATAATTACCCAAGCTATTAAAATAGCTTTACTAGTCATTAGAATGATATTCATCTTAGGGAAAGTGCTTACTTCATGCATAAATAAATTTGTCTTACATGTCATTTTTCTCTCTATGGTTATTGTTATTTCTACTCATGAGTACTTACCTTTGATTCAAATTATTCAGGGGCTTGTACAAAAGCTAGCACTTGGCCAGCCTAAGTCCAGGTTCTATCGCTGGCATCTCAAATGGTCCCCGAGCACTGCCAAGAGTGATCCCTGAGTTTAGAACCAGGAAAACTCCCAAGCATTGCCAGGTGTGTCCCAAAAACAACAACAGAAAGGAAAATTCAAATCGTTTTAATAGAGTTTACTTTCAACTCTCAAAGATTCCTATTATAAATAGGAAAAATCATTTGATCCCAAGAAACTGAACATCTAAGTGAGAAATGTCATCAGACAATAAGACTAAAAGATTTAAATAATAATATATAAATCATCAAGAAAGAAAGTTACATTTTCTACTTAAATGGTAGATAATGATAAAGGTGAGAGTAATCTAGAAACCTTTAAAAGCATTAATAATTTCCATTTCTCCTCTATGTTATCAAATAAAGATAAATGAGATACTTATTTTTTCTTCTAAGAACTTATAGTCCAATGGCAAATATAAGCATATACTTAATTATTATGCAAAGTAAAGTAGATAGGTAAAATTGTTGATTTGAATTTGTAAAATAAAAAGCTGAAGGGAAAGGCGTGAAACCACTGAGCACCTTCTGAGTGCCTATTGCAGAACTTTTTATATATACCCATTTCTTTTATTTTTTAAAATGCTATTTGAAGGAAAATTTGTACTAGAAATGAGCGTTATATAGGAAGAAAGCAATTGCCTCTCTTTAGATATAAACAAATTATCTATTGAAGCACTTGACATAATATGTTTGTAAGCATTAAAATATTTCATATTTTATCCTCTAAAATTTATAAACATTATTTTAAAATTTTTTTCTCTATGAGTATTATAAGGTGAGAAAGTGGAGAGAAAGAGAGAGAGAAGAGTAAAGGAAGAGAAGGAGTGTAGAAGAGAGGAAGAAAGACATTTTGTGAATGATTTTTATAAATTACTTTAATAAAAATAATCTTGACTAAAGAATGAAAGCTTCTGCAATATCAAAATATAAATCTACTGCAGATAAATGTTAGATATATATAATCATCTTCATTTATCATGGTGAATTGAATGTCTGGTCATCATTAATTTGGAAAGGATACAGAGTCAAGTGAGCTTCCTATTAGATTGTAACTGAATTTTCTTCTATTGTAAACTGCTGCAAATATATTATCCTTGAAAGCACACACAAATAAAACAATGTTCTAAGGTATGAACTTTTAGTTTAAATGATTTCACATAAAGATTATCAACATGCAAAATAGAGCTGTGACAAAAAGGTAAATATCCAGAGACCTTAAACGTTTTTCAGTTCTTTTTTCTGCTGGTTGATTCTTTATTAACATTCCCAAAACTTGACATAAAACATTCAAAGAACTCTAATAACTGGTGTAGTCTTTACAAAGAATGTAGCCCCATTACCTTGTTTTAGAATGAAGAAAAATGGGACAGGTGTTGGGGGAGCGGGTAAGGAAAACCATACATCTCTAGCTTAGGAAACTTGATAAAGGAACTACCAAAAATTTTAAGAGTAAACTAAAAAAGGAAATTTGAAATAAAACAATCTTGATATCAGGTAAATGCTAGTATATGAGTTTCTCAAAGTACTCTTGTCCATATTCTGAAAAAAAAATGCTGCTGCTTAGGGTAAGAAGTGCAATATGAAAATTTTAAAGCAGAGAATCCATTCGTATGGAGTATCTGTTATATATTGTCCTCTACCTTTCTTTACTTTGTTTCTCTATGAAGTGGTGTATTGTTTCTTCAAATCTGAATGAGAGTCTGACTGGATAAAGTATTCTTGGTAAGGCATTCATTTCATTGAGTTTTTTCACTATATCCCGTGACTGTCTTCAGACCCAGAGATTTAGTCAGATAAGTCTGCTGTAAATTGTAAGGAAGCTCCTTTGTATATGATTTCCTTCTTGCTGCTTTCAGTATTCTATATCTATGGTTTTTGTCATTCTGATTAGGATGTGTCTAGGAGTATTCTTATTTGGATTTTTTTTTTTTTTTTTTAGCTTGTATTCTTTAGATCCTGCAGTATCCCTGTTCAGGCACTCTTCAGTTCTGGGAACTGATCAGCAAGGATGCTTTTGACAGCTGATACTTCAACAAAGTTGCCCTCCTGACCCTTTGGGACCCTGAGGATTCTTACCTTGTTACTCTTGAATTCATCCCAAAGTTCTCTCATCAGTTTTTCTTTGATTTTGAGGCTTTTTCCCCCATTTTGTTCTGTTGAGAACTTCCAGTGAGTTTTTCATTTCACCAACCAAATTTCTCAGTTTTTTGTTTCTTTTTGTAGTTTTATTTCTCTTCTCTTATCCTCTTGTGTTTTCTTGATGGTCCATTCCATTGTTTCTTTGAGCACCTTATAGACCCCCTAATTTCTTATCTAAATTTCTTATCGCAAAGATTATATAGCCAGATGTTACTGGTTCAATCTTCCAGACTACCATCTTCACTCACTGAGCATGGTGGGGTTCTGCATTGCTTTCCCATTGTGATGTTTGCTGCCTAGATTGACAGCTATATGTAGAAATAGCCCATTTATTGGAGAAATCTGTTTAAAATCAGGGCAAACATTGAGAGGTAAGTTAAATTTTGTTAAATAAGCTAATCCCTCTATTATGTTTGAACTCCTACCTTTCTCTTTGATTTTCCAGCTCCTAAACAAGTTAGAAAAGTCTGGTCGCATTTACGTTAGAATTTAAGTCATGTAGTCTGGAACTATTAATCTGCTTTAGAACACAGTCCTTCTGACTGGGTTCAAACCCTGGCACTCATTTCTCTCATCCTTACCCTTGCAAAGTTATAGCCAAGTAAATTCTCCAGTTGTGGTATTCAATTTAATGTTCATCTACTAGTATATCTGATGTTAATTTATTTGCTTATCAGTTTCAGAAGAAATCAGAGAGTGTAAGGATAGTTTTCTGTCTCAAGAAGTTACCTCACTGCTTGGGACTGCCTAGCTCTGGAAGATTCAACTATTATAGGGTTGGAAATAAAGTACAGAGGTTGTACTTGATCATTGTCAATGAGGATTTGATCCTGGGCACCACTACATGATACTGTGAACTCCACCAAGAGTGATCCCTTAGCAGAGAACCAAGAGTTAAGTCCTGAGAACAGCCAGGTGTATTCTTTCCCCCTCCGGGGGAAACACACACACACACACACACACACACACACACACACACACACAAAATTAAGATTGAATTCATATATCCATTTCTATCTATAAAGTCTTTTGTACTTTTAACTCTTTACTTCTTTACTTTTACCACATATGTTTTTAAGATATATTGTGTGATCCGTCTCTTAACTTCCTTGTAGAAATTTTTTTCATCTCTAGCATAAACTCTAAAATTAAATTGAATTATTCTTCTCCATTCCATCCAGTGTCTATGCTGTGACTGCCTTTTTCCATCTTGCTAACCACCCCAGTTCCTACCTTGGAACAATCTATCTTCATTTCTTATATTCAGTAGATTAAAAATGGCTAAAAGCAATCACAGACAACTCTGTAGCTCTTTATGTTTATTGTGTGGCCTTGTAGGGGAAAAGGATATTATATTACTCCCTTGACTTCTTCGTTTACTTAGGCAGGCAAAAAAATTAGATTAACAGAAGAAAAAATGTTAAAAAAAATGAACAAACATAAAAACCATGTACATCTCTTGATGGAGGATATCTCAGAGGAGAGACATGGCAAAAAAATGGTGAACTCTCCAAAATGTTTATGTAACCATCATAACTAATAACAATTCTGAGGTAAATTGGAAAAGTCATTTATTAGAGATTCTTAGGAAATACAGTAAGGGAAGTACAATAATTGTTAGATTTTAGTTATTATCTTTGACATCCTCAGAATAGAAAATATTTGGGAGGAAACTGTCTTTGTAAATGGGCATTTGTTTCTTTAAACAATTAAAAGTCGTTTAAAACAAACAACTTCTACTCAGATTTTACAGCCTTTCTGCAAAGTAATCTTTATTCCAAACAGATATAGTGAGGTGTGATGACCTTTGTTTCCGTTGAGCATTTGGTTATTTTTTGGCAATTTGGTTTCTTCTGTATTCCACTACCTACACACTTGGTTTAAATCTTATAATACTGGGTGGTAGTGCTGGTGGTCACAAGAATTACCTTGTCACACACACTATGCTGAGCTTGGGATTGAATTCAGGACCTTGAAGGTGTGAACATGTGCTTTAGCCTTTTGAGCTAGTTTTCCAGTATTTAATATATTTCTCATGTTTCAAGAAAATAAACCACTAACCAATGAGTTAAAGATGGATGGATGTATTTTCCTAAGACCCATAAACATGTCTCACTTTTGACAGAATAACATCTTTACCTTTCTATAACTTAACTTAAAACCTTTATTAGTCTGCTAGTGCTACTTCAACAAGATAGCACATATTGGCTGACTTAAACAACAGAAGTTTATTCTCTTATGCTTCATCAGCCTAAAAATCTAAGGTTATGACATAAAAAGATGTGGCTTCCTCTGAAGCCTATCTTCTTTACTTGCGGATTACTACCTCCTTGTTGGTGCTCATAATGGCCTTTGCTCTGTGCTTACATATTTTTTATGTCTTTCTTTTGAAAAAAATCACTCTTATTGAATTATGCCCTCATTTACACTTACTTACCTCTTAAAGGCCTTATCTCTAAGTCACATCTAAGAGATAATCTAAGGTATTAGGGTTAGGACTTCAATGCATTGATTTGGGGGAGGGAGGGGCTCTGTTCAGCCTATTCTTAGACAAGGCTAAGATTTATTGACTTAAGAAAAAATTCTGAAAATCATGACATTGTGTAGTTTTGATGTCTCTTCTGAAAACTAAACCAGGTTTTAAGAAAATCCTGTTAGTCAACAAAAATATTAGAAATCTTAGTTTGATATAAATATTATTAAATGTTATACTAAGATTCAATACAATAAATGGAGTTCTTTTTTTTCTTTTTTTTCTTAATTGTGTATCTATTTTGGAGCTCTCATCTCTAATTATCATTAATCTTATGAATGTAAATAACTGGAATACGTCTCATTGTATTCTCTCTCTTTTTTCCCCTTTAGGACTCTAAAGGCATTTAGAAATCACAATGAAGAAAAATTTGTCAATGACATGATGATGGCTTTTCCGGAATATTGTGAGAACTTCGAAGATGTTAAAGCAAAAGTTGCAATTGGAAAAAAAAATTTAGTCTTTGAGATTCCTGATGGGATTACAAAATGAAATGATGCCAAATCACATCCTATGATCATTTTGAAGTGCAGCTATTTTTCCTTGAACATTATGATACTACATGAAAGATGAAATACAGGATAGTCATATATAAATCTTCTAAAATGTAAAGATAATTATTTATATTGGTTTCTTTCATCGATCTTTCAATGTCAATAAAGTGGAGTTGGCATCCCCGACTGATTTCCTGTATTTCATAATCAAGAAACAATTAAAACTGATTTTATTTATTGCAAGAAATTTTGCAAAGGCAATTGTTATGTTCGCTTTCATGTCTTTGCTGAGGATAGGAAGTCAAAACTAACTTAAGTTTCCCTGGCAACTTTCGCACAAGAAATTAACTCAGCTGCTGAATTTTCCCCTAGTCACTGTATACTTTGATTGCTTTCATTACCTGCTTTCATGTACTTAATTATATATTCTGTTTATTTTGTTAGACAATCTTCAGAATTTTTTTCAAAACAAATATTTCACCATTACACCAGTAATTTATACTTTTACAATTCAGATAATATAAAATACAAAAGAAAATTAAACATTTCTTTTAAATTCTTGGTAGTAAGACTGTCACTTTTGTCTTTTTGTGTTTTGAAAATTCATTTTTGATGTTTTTCTCTTTTCACATGTGCAAGGGATAAAGACAGACTAAGGCAGGATTATGAAATTGTTATTATAATCATACTTAAAGGACATATATATTCATCCCAGACCAATTTAATACTCATGATATAAAATTTGGAAAATAAAGGACAATGTAAAAATACATAAAACTATGAAATTTTATTCTCATAAAAACACACACACACACAATCATCCTGTTGTTTGTCGATTGCCTCGAGCAGGCACCAGTAACGTCTCCTTCTTCCTAGCCCTGAGATTTTAAAAGAGCCATATTCAATGCTCTTTCAAGGCTAGGAGAATGAGACCTATCATTGTAACTGGTATTTGGCATATTGATTACAACATGGGAAGTTTGCCAGACTCTGCCGTGTGGGCAGGATACTTTCGGTAGCCTGCCAGGTTTCCAAAGTAAAAATGAGATAATAAGATGTGGTGTGTCCGCAAATGCTGTCGTTCTTCCAGGAGCTGGGTTTTATAGTCTCTGGGTCTTGGCCGTTGACGGGAACCACCTGGCCCCGACAGCAGCTGGTGGGTATAACGCCTACCTACTGGAAGATGGGGGATCTGGGTGGAGGATCCGAACAAGCTTGGAGATCTCAGCCCCCGGGCTCACATGCCTCGGTTTCTCTGCCCGTTCCCTCATGCACAAGGCTTGTCCGGATGTGCGAAGAGTGGTCTCGGCAAGGCTGTGGCTGGTTCTGGAGGTCCTCGCCTGCCAGGGCTGCTCCTGGGACCTCTCCAAAGTCCAGCTGTGTGGGTACTCAGGAGGCTTTAGCATACAGGGGTGATGGACGGAAGCACTGGCTATTGGCTATTATTATTCTCATAATATTTTCATATATCAAGAAATATGAATGATCATTATATTAATTTCTTAATAAAATATATTATTATTTTAAATGTTTAATGTGCTTTAATTACATATAATTTTTAAGTATTTATTTTTAAAATTCTCTAACCTTATTAGTCTCAGAAAAATGTCAAAAAAATTACTATCTTATAAAATCTTGTATTCAATTTTGTCTCTGAACTGCTAAAAATATCTGTTGGTATTTTTTTCTCCAAAATGCAAACTGCTTATTTAAATCTGTGACAAAAACTCTATTTTCCTATTAAACATAAAGTATGAGTCAGTCATCTTTTTCTGCAAAAAAGCATAAGGAAAATAGAGTGTGTGGTATAAATCAGGACATATATTGATTCCCATAACAAATTAGAGAATCTTTATGCTGCTCTATTTTTCTATTCTCTAAATAGAAATAATACATATGTTCTGGAGGTTTAATGAAACTAATGACATCATACAGTTATTACATATAACGATCATATAAAATATTTATTATATAACCATTGATATAGTTAAATGAAGAAATTGCAAGATGGAGTGATAGAATAGAAGTTAGGGTGCTTTTCCTGTACATAATTGATCCGGGTTCAATCAGCAGCATCATATATTGGTCCTGCTTCCAGGAGTGATCTCAGAGGGCTGAGCCAGGAGTAAGTTCTGAGTACAGCCTATTTTGCACCCCCCACCAATAAAGAAAAAAAAGTGAAAAAAGTATACAGAGTAAATTTTTAAAAGGTAAGTGTGTAGTAGTTGAAGCAGAAATATCCTTTTGTAGCTATGAGGACTTATCATCTATGTTAGATGTGAGGAGCACTATCAAGGAACTATAGGAATTTTGTGTGTAATATTTGAGTATAATATTTGTGTGTAATATTTGAGTATATTTTATGAGTTTTTTTTAACTCTAAATGTTAGATTGTAGATGTTTTAGGCTGTGTGGGTCATATTCTTTTTGATGTTCACCATAGCTCCACTGTTGCAGGACACATTCAATAATATATGTAAAATAAATAATTATACTTGGTTAAACTTTATTAAAAAAAAACAAAGTTCAGCCAGATTTCATCTATGGGCCATAATTTTCCAGCACTTTGTATATTTGAAAGCATTTCGGCTTGCAAATTTTTGGAATTTATACACGTAACAATACTAATAGGACTCCTTTCACAAGCTAATACAAATTTTAAACAAATTTCCCAAATAAATATCTGAAACCTTTCCCTTGATAATAATGTCTAAATGTCTTAAAATTCTTATATGCTTTAGATCCTTTTAACAAAGGACTTTATTTCAGATAAGAACAACTTTGTTAATATATTCAAATAGCACTGTAGCACTGTCCTTCCATTGTTCATCAGTTTGCTCGAGTGGGCACCAGTAACGTCTCCATTGTGAGACTTGTTGTTACTGTTTTTGGCATATCAAATACGCCACAGGGAGCTTGCCAGTCTCTGCTGTGCGGGGGGGGGGGGGGGGGGGGATACTCTCGGTAGCTTGCCCGGCTCTCTGAGAGGGACAGAGGAATTGAACCCGGGCTAGTCGCATGCAAGGCAAATGCCCTACCTGCTGTGCTATTGCTCCAGCACAAAGAAATAGTAGAAATATTTAGAAATAATAATGATTTTTAGAGGGGAGACACCCAAAATGTCTTCTTCTCATGTCTTCTAGGAAATTAGGTGCCTGAGGGCTTTGCCAGTTTCCTGTACTTACAGGATTTATCTATATAGAAAAAATTCTTGAGGCTAAAAAGTGAGAAACTGAAGGCATTCACATCACTTGCACCTCTCCAACATGAGCCACATGTTGTGGATAAGACTTGACAAGTTTGTCTGACACATTTTCTACACTCCATATTACAAGGATTTTTCTCCAGTTTAAACTTCCATTTAATAAAATTTCAGAATCTGTATATATTTTCAGCATTAGTATATGTACATACATTCAAAAATTTATTATGTTCTATGGCACTCTGTAATATCAACTAATTTAGACAACTTATTCAATGTTGTTACACAGAAAACAATTTTAATCCAAAGTGATTTCTCATGTGCTGATTAACGTTTGAAAATGTAGTGAAGGCCTTTCTACATTTCTTACAAGCACAGCATTTCAATAGTGTGGATTGTCATCTGTGAGATAAGGCTGGAACAGTGAGTGAAGACCATCCCACATGACTTAAAAGCATAAATTTCTCTCCAGTGTAAATTCACATATGATTAGTTAAGACTTAGTTAAGGGTGAATGAAGGCCAACTCATATTCTCTATAAGTGCAAGATCTCAATCTAGTGTGAATTTTCGTATGTGTGTGAGGATTCAGTAAAGGTTTTTTTTAACATTTCTTTCAAACACAGGGTTTCAATTATTGTGAATTCTGAATGGCTTTTATGATTTCTAGAAGCAGTAAAGCCTTTCATATGTTTGTCACATAAGATTTCTCAAATGCACAGTGAGGCTTGAAGAGTGAATGAAGGCCTTCCAACATTCCTTACAAAAATAAGGGTTTTTTTTCCCAGGAGTGGTATTGCTGGGTCAAATGGGAGCTCAATTTCTAATTTTTTGAGAATAGTCCATATTGTTTCCAAAAGGGCTGAACCAGTTGGCATTCCCACCAGCAGTGAAGAAGAGTCCCTTTCTTGCAGCATCCGCGCCAACACTGGTTGCTTTTGTTCTTTTGGATGTGGACCAGTCTCTGTGGTGTGAGATGATATTTCATTGTTGTTTTGATCTGCATCTCCCTGATGATTAGTGATGTAGAGCATTTTCTGATGTGCCTTTTAGCCATTCGGATTTCTTCTTTGAGAAAGTTTCTGTTCATTTCATCATTCCATTTTTTTTTTGATGGGGTTGGATGTTTTCTTATTGTGAAGTTCAACCAGCGCTTTGTATTTCCTTGAGATCAACCCCTTATTGGATGGGTATTGGGTGAATATCTTTTCCCATTCTGTATATTGTCTTTGTAGTCACCCCAGAGAGGCAAAAAAGTATAGTCGAAATGACATCTGCACTTCTATGTTCACTGATGCACTGTTCACAATAGCCAAAATCTGGAATAAGCCCGAATGACCCAGAACAGATGACTGGTTAAAGAAACTTTGGTACATCTACACAATGGAGAACTATGCAGCTCTTAGAAAATATGAAGTCATGAAATTTACATAAGAGTGGTACAACATGGAAAGTATCATGCTAAGTGAAATGAGTCAGAAAGAGAGGGACAGACATAGAAAGATTGCGTTCATCTGTGGAACATAATGTAACATATTGGGAGACTAACACCCAAGAATAGGCAAGATAAGTACCAGGAGGTTCACTCTATGTCTTGGAGGCCAGTCACACATGCTGAGGGAGAAGGCAGCTCAGATACAGAAGGGGGCACCAAATAAAGGTTGTTGGGAGAATCCTCCCAGCATGAGAGATGCATGCTGAAAGTAGACTATACAATAAACATGATTGCCACTCAATGCTTCTTTTGCAAGCCACAACACCCAAAAGGAGACAGAGAACAAAAGTGAAAGCCCTGTC